TATATAGATATATTCTATAATATATGTTTTTTTTTTATTTCTTATATATATATAGATATATATAGATAGATACTCTATCTATATATCATATATATCTTATACCTATCTCTATACCTCTAGACTCTAAATTATATATCTACTATCTATAAATTATAGATATTATCTCTTCTCATATGTAGATATATATCATCTCTATATATCTCGCTATTATATATCGCGCTTAACAGATAACTATCTTATATGCATTCATATATCTATATATATATTTCTCTCTCTCTATATCTAATCTCTCTTAGACGACCATATAACTAGCAGGTCTAATTATCTATATATATCTCATCTCATCTCTCTCTCTTATGTCTCTCTCTACATATCTCTATCGATAATATATACTCATATAATCTATCTCGTATATATATATTCTGCTATATCTCACTCTCTATATCTCTCCACTCTATATATCTATCTAAATATAATCTTATAACTCTCTAACTCTATATCTATCTCTCATCTATATACATATCTCTATCTCATAACTCTATCATATCTATAACTATATATATATATCAATTTATATATACATATGACATATATATACATAGATAAACATCTATATATATATAACTATATATATATATCACATAGCATATATATATCCTCTATATATTACTAATATATAATAATCTAACTATAGTCTCTATCTAACTCTATATATACTATAAATATATATATCTTCATCATAGCTCTCTACTCATATATATATATCTCTCATCATACTACTATATCTAATTCTATCTCTCTGATCTATCTTGTATATCACTATCTATGTCTCTCATCTATATGTATCCCTATATATATCTAAATTATATATCTATAGCTCTATTTCATATCTACCTATATATATAATATCTATATCTAGATAAATCTCTATATATAAATATCTTATTATTATTCTCTAACATATATATCTTAATACAGATCTATATCAATCTATCTCTGACTCAATAATTATCTCATATATAAATATATATATCATTATATATCATCTATCTCTATCTAAATATAATATTATATATACTATATATATATCTATATATATATATATAATATAGATATATCTATCTTATATCTCCCTCCCCTCTCTCTCTATCTATATATTCTATAGCTTATATATATATCTCTTATATATATCTATCTATATATATTTACTATCTATATCTATCTTTTATCTTCTATATCTATCTTTCATATATATAGCTATTTATATTATATATCTTTCTATATATTATATCTATCGATCTCTTTATATATATATATTTCTCTGTCTTCCTTTATATATCTCTCATTCTAATATATTCTCTATCTTATCTCTTTCATCTCTTATATTTATCTCATCTCTTTACTATATCTCTTTCTCTCTATATTTATCTAACATATATATGTCTATCTCTCTCTCTATATCTCTATGTATATCTCTATACTCCTAATCATATCTATTATATATATCTTATCTAGTATCCATATCTAATATCTATCACTCGTCATCTCATATATCTCGCTACTCCCCTATATCTGCTATGTCTACCTATATCTATTATCGATATCTCCATCTCGCTCTCTATCACTAACTATCTCTCTCTCTCTATCAAAAACACAGACACCATACCATCAAAACAAAAATAATTTTTCTATATCTATCTCTCTCTATATATATAGCTAATCATACATTCTCTATATATATGTATGTCTATCTATCATATCTACAAATAAATACCTTATAATATCTCTCTCTATATATATATTATATATATATATATATATATATATATATATATAAATATATAAATAAATAAATAAATAAATAAATAAATAAATAAATAAATAAATATACATATATAAATATATAAATATATATAAACACATATATAAATATATATATATACATATATAAATATATATATATACATATATAAATATATAAATATATAAATATACATATATAAATGTATATATATAAATATAAATATATAAATATATAAATATATAAATATATATATATATATATATAAATATAATGGTTAATGGTTAATGGTTAAAAGCAAGAGAAATGTGCTAGACATCTAGGGTCATGTAGCACTATAGTTAATGTTAGTGAAGGGTGGTTGAGTTAGTGGTTAGTTGTCTAAGCTGGGCAAAGGAATTAGTGAGTGAAAGGGTTAAGGTCAGGTGTTATATTAGATAAAGGGTATGCATAAGAAAGGTTTCTTGAAGGCATACAATAGATGGGTTATAAGAGGAAAGGATATGATGGTCAGGTCTGTGGGAGCGGAAACCGCGAATATTCCAATGAAGGATAGTTATACTTTCGTTGATTTAGTGATATAGATTGTAGTACGTGTTGGAGAATTTGAAGGGGAAGCAGCTAGAGGATGGGATAAGGACTGAGAGGTTTGAGATGGGAGAGGTGTGGGAGTTGGTGTTCTATCAGGAGGGGTAGTAGGAGATGGAGGGTCTGAGGAAGGGGATACTTGTGACATAAGGGATTCACGTGTGTATCCAGGAGGGAGTGGAAGGGATAGAGGGGATGGTGGGAGAGTTAATGTGGGCAGGGTCAGGGGGGATGGGCTGTGTTGGGAGGGGGTAGGAGGGTAGGGTGTAGGGGGGATATCGTTAGGAGGAGGATGGATATCAGCAATTACTTGGAGTGTGGAAGGAGCAGGAGTTGTAGGTTGAGTGTCGGTTTTCATTAAGTAATCTTGAATATTTTCAATAGTTTCTTCTGTGGAGTTGGTTGGGGAGTTTTGGGGGATAAAGGATTTCTTGTGAGGGGGGGAAGAGAGGACTGGTGTCTCAAGAGTACGGGCAAAGGATGGTGGGGGTGATTGTGTGGTAGGGGAAGAGGGGGTGGAACGTTTGTTCTGTCTGTTACGGGGAGTGCGAGGAGGGAGAGGGGAAGGTGTTGGGGTTGTAGTGGTGATTGGAGTATCTGTAGTAGAGATTGGAGTTTCTGGATTTAGGATGGCAAAAGAGTTTGACTGGGGAAGGTAGGTGGGGTTAGTGGGGGGGTTAGATGTAGGAGGGGTAGGTTTAGGAGAAGTGTTAGGATGAGCAGTATTACTGGAGTAAGGAGTAAGAGAGAATCCACGTCGACGTGCTTCCTGTCTGGCTTCACGCAGTGTGAGTCCGAGTTTGAATCTGAGAGTTGCTACCTCAGATTCAAATTTGTAGGTGGGACAGCCCCTATAAAATACATTATGGGGGCCGCCACAGTTGGCACATGTGCGTGATTGTGCAGAGCAGTTAGATCGGGTATGGCCAGGTTGGGCACATAATGGGCATCTGGCTGTGGAACGGCAGTGTTTGGCTGGGTGTCCTAGACGCCAACAATTTTGGCACTGACGTGGAGGAGGTTGGTATGGACGAACAGGGAGGGATTCTCCTCCTATGTAGACGTTAAAGGGAAGGTCATGTCTACGGAAGGTAATTTTGGCTATGTTAGTGGGTTTCTTTCGATGACCTCTGGGGGGTATGGAATAGCATTGTACTGATGTTGCATCGTAGTCTGTGAGACAGGCAAGTAGATCTTCTCCACAATCTGACCATTCTTTGTCATAGATTGGGCAATTTGTTGGTGAGATTGAGACTGTTCCGGTGCAAGTATTGAGGGTTGGATGGGGTTCTGCTAGGATGGGGTTACCATATAGGTCAGTTAGTTTTGTTAGTGCTATGGCTTGGTTTTCGGATGTTACTGTTACAAGACGGGAGCGGTCGGGTCGGCTACGGAAAGAGACTTTACCTACTTGTTTTTGGAGGCATTGTTGGAAGAGAAGGGTGTTGTTAGAGTAGGGAGCTGTGGGAGGGATCACGAAAAATCGGTCCCATTTGGCTGCACTGAAGAGAGTATTCAAGATTGTTTTAGAGATAGGGGTGGTAGAAGGGCGAGGGCGTGACGAAGATGGAGTTGTGTTGATGGAGGTAGTGTTATGGAGAGGTGGGCTATAAGGCTGTAAGGTATTAATAAGGGAGGATGGGGTGGTTGATGTTGGAGGTTGTGGGGGTAGAGGTGTTGAAGTTGGGCATGCTGGGAGAGTGGAAATGTCCCTTGAGGGTTGATTGTTGGCTACTGTACTAGTAGGCATTGGTGAAGGGGTAGTTATTGCAGTGTTTGGAGCCGTGGTCAAAGGAGAGCCTGGGGTCGGGGAATCGGGTGGGTTTACTTCGTTGGGGCTATTTGATAAAGGGGCAAGCCTCATTGCCCCTAACATTGGGGATATATTTTCATTACTGGCCATGGGAAGCCTGGATTATGTTGGGGATAAAACCAGTCCACCCCTCAGGGTCCCCTTGAGGGGTAAGGGCTAGATAACTAAATCAGGGGAATACCGTGCCCATGGCTCCCTCAGGCCGTTCAGGACTGGCACAAAGTCAGCCTTTCATCCTTTCAGCACGGCTCTCACACCTTAGGAGGTGGATAGCAGAAGGGTTTGGTGAAGGGACAGAAACAAAAGTGGGAAGGGAAAAAAAGACCATGCATAATTAGTTGAGTCGAGGGCTGAGTCCCAAGGTTGGGGAGTTCCCCATCATTGGGTCCCAGTCTCCGCCTCCTAAGCCCCCCCACGACAACAACGGGCAAGGGATTGGGGGGGTATATAAATATAAATATATAAATATATATACATTTATATATATATATATATATATATATATATATATATATATATATATAAAGATAGACAGATAGATAGATAGATATGTGCACTCTTCATTGTTCTTCTAAATAACTCAATGTGCAACAAGTGGTCCAAAGAGCTCAGGTCTTGAACTCAAGGTTAGCAATACTGCCAGACGAGAATGTTAGTACTGCACCACACAGCACACAATATGCGTGGTGTCTATGTCTCTGTGCATGTGTGTCTGCCTGTGAGAGTGATTTCTGATACCATGATATTTGTCTATACATGAGAACACAAACATTAGGGAAAACACAGAAACAAAATTCATATTTTTTCAACTTTTATTGAGAAAAAAGTATTCAGACTGATCCAAAGCCCTGAACTTATTTCTAACATATGATGCCTAATATATAAACGTGACTAACGATGAAAAAATTTAGGCCTGGGAGTTGTGATGAAGATATTCTAGCCACAAACTAGTACTATTGTGTGAACTAAGTAATAAAATAATGGAAAATATATCACTTACAGCTTTCCCCTTCTCTGGGATTATTGCAATAATATGGTCTTTTCTCACCATACATAATAGCATAAATATTCACACATTGATAATTACATCTGCCTTGAAATGCAAAAACAGGATTAAGCTATTGCACGTGTTATCCGTCTTGCCGTGGACGAGTTCCTTTCTCGAGACAAATTCAAAACATGGTGGAAACCTTTTTCTTTCTCTCCTCTCCCTGCCTGTCCTTGGCAGCATTTCAAGGCATGAGTGAAATTATTATTTTTATCTAAATAATAATACAATTTTAATCATGATTTGCTCTGCATGAGAGGGGAGACCTTCAGATGCTCAGGACCTTTAATAAGCGTTTGTTTACCATTCACTGTGAAGTGATGTGATGTATGATTATATAATGAAATGCTCTAGTCTTACAATATGAATCTAAGAAAAAAAAAAAGAAAGAAAAAAACTTCAATAGCATGTTTAATGGCCACCACTATGTATCAAAAATACAGCATCAAAACTTATCTCTTAATATTAGGACTAATTACGGAACAGCATTTTCGTTTGCCTTTTTTTCTTTTTTTTTTTCATTTCACATGAATTAAGTAACAGCAAATCTACCTGGACTGTTTAATGTATTAAAAAGGCCCTGGAACTGAATCTCCAGGACTATGCCAGATTACATCAATAGCCTGACAATTCTTTATATCTTTTTCACCACTGAGTGAATTCCAATGTAAAGCTTTCAGCTAAAACAACGTACAAAAAGGACTCTCTGCACGACATACATCTTACGTCAAACAGACAAACAGATACGGGTACTTATGTTTGGACTACTGCGTATCTGTTATTCACATATCCACCTCGGACATCAAACCTAAACACCACTACTCAACACTTCCGTGTAGTGAATGCATCTCATTGGTTGGATCAAATCCCAGCTCTAGTTCAGAAACAAAATTATGACTAACATTGACATTACTATATCTTAACATCATCTTCCATACAGTCAACCATCTCGATAGCACTTAAACGATCTTTGCTGCTAGACCTACATATTCCTATGGCTTTTATACAAACCAAGCCAATTACAGAACAGAATCAATTAGTTGTTTACTTTCCTCTACTCTTATCCTTACAGAAACCTAGACCATTTATCCAATACATACAAACAATATACTTGCAAGAACATAACATTCTTGTACCAATTCGCTTTAAATAATATCCATATCATCCAATTTTTTCCAAAAACAAAAAGAGTACTTCGGTCCAAACAAAAGACCAATGACATCTTTGTATCCTTATTATCCTGACAGTTCTCGTGCAAGACACCAACACTTTTCCTATGCCACAGATCCACTAGTACAAGCAGCGAGTAATTATTTCAATTTGTTGTGAAACGTTCTAGAAAAATAACGTCTGTCTGCAACTTCTGAGTGAAAATCCTACAGGTCAGTGATCATTCAACTGATAAATTAATAGATAAAATCATTCATGGAAAAAAGGTGTTAATATTTTCTACATGCTGATATGAGTGTAATCAATTGGGAGCAATTTAATTCTTTTCTTTGATATTGATAAAATAACTTTGCCTGGACAAAACACTGGCTCTTGTAATTAACAATGTTTTTTTTCCTTTACACTCAGAGCTTTAAATCAAACATCATATAGCCCATAATAAATAACAATGCAGGATCATTACTCTGTTACAGATGAGGCAGTCACAAGTGCTCTACCCAACACATTATCTTGACCGCATACCACACTACATTTACACGATTACTACACTGCGTAAATTGCATGGACTGTATTAAGCAGAGAAATTGTAATCTAAATGGGTACAATGAGCCCGACAGAAGACTCATTTGCTATAAATATATTTCATCTTTGAGGCACTGTTGAGAGTATCAACACATCTGAAAACTTCTTAAGGAAAAATTATTTGTAAATATACATATATGTGTATACCTTATATGTGTGTGTATGTGTGTGTGTGTGTGTGTGTGTGTGTGTGTGTGTGTGTGTGTGTGTGTGTGTGTGTGTGTGTGTGTGTGTGTGTGTGTGTGTGTGTGTGTGTGTGTGTGTGTGTGTGTAAAGCAAATGCATACATGCATGACTGCAAATGATTGTACTCTTGTGCACAAAGACACACACGCACAGATGAACGAATACATGCACGCACACACACACACACACACACACACACACACACACACACACACACACACACACACACACACACACACACACACACACACACACACACAAAGTTCACTTACTAACTCCTTCGACTACTCGCTCACTCTCTCTTAGCACATCCATATGCATGCACACAAGTATGCAGACAAAATGACGAAAAGGTTCTCAGTGTTCTTGGAGCAGGCGATATGTCTACCAAGAAATGCTTCAGATGTGTTCTTCAAGGGAGTGAGAAGACCTCAGCTGGGAGTGGGAGAGAGTTCCCACCAGCACAAGCGGAGGTCTTGCCACCCGGGCACGAAAGTGGTATGAGGATGGCAGATGATGCTCTGAAACAATGATTTATACACACAATGGGTCTTTGAAAGCAGTGGCTGTGAATGATGATTAACGCGACCCGCCTTCAAAGTTGCTTACCAACTCCAAGAGGGACCTGTTAAGTGTGCTACAAAAAAACAGGGTTCTTGTGTTGTCCAGCAACACCTATCCTGGCGTGGGGTCAAGTGGTCCCGCTCAACTACAGCAGGCTCCTCTTGAACCAGGTGCTTTATCTACCTCAAGTAGTGATATCGGAACATAATGTGCAAGAGTCAATCATAGCTTTTACATTAAGAAAAACAAAAGAAAAAAGAATTGGATACCAAATTCATTGTTTTTGCAAAATAGTCATGGCACAAGCAGTACCATAGTTAACAATATGTACAACAGAAGAATGTTTTATAAACCAAATTTCAACTGCCAATACTGAAACACATTTTTGTCTGTTCTTTGTAATTTATTTTTGTGTAAAACAAATTATATAAGACCCTCATTGCATGCTAAATCTGAGTCATAAAAGTGGAGTCAGACTTGGTATGCAATATCCAGCGCTACATAAATGAATGAAATGAAATGCAAATGGAAAGGAAGAACTATTGATAACAAAGAAACAAACAACAACTACAAAAATTATCTCTAGTATATCAAAACTTAATTGTTATTTCTATTTCATTAGGTTTCTTTGTATAACCTTATGAAAAAGACAAAATCAGCATTCTACACCAATTTGTACAATATATTGGTGCATACTGTCCGCAGTTTTGTCTTTCCTTCCCTATTACAGGCTATGAAAGCTCAACATGAGCTACACATATACATAAACAAGATGATTGGACAAGCACACAAACCAATGCATACATTAAATATTACAGTCTTTGGGGGAGAAAGAATTCATAAAAAATAGCTCTCTTTGGGAGCCTCCTCACTGGGTTACAGGAAAGAAAAATCGTCAAACATTTCTTTCTGAATCTCGTGTCCTTGTTGGACATACCATTAAAAAAGAAAAATGCAGGAACTATGTATGGCAATACATACCTCCCAACTGACTAACTGCAATTACATATCACAGCATTACATTATTAACACTAACATAAGAACAATCATGAGTGACCCCTGGTTTTATATATAAATACATATACATTTTTTTGTAGTTTATTTTCCCTTGTGTTTTTATTCTAATTTTCTTTAAAGACAAAGCCTACTCCCTCTTTGTTTCAGAACCTCTCACAGCTGGCCTCAAATCTTCTGTCATGGCTTAAACTGAGTAGGTCAAGATAGCTACTTAAAGCCAAAATATAAAATCTAAATCTAAATCTAATCACTCAAAAATGTTTTAAATTAGGAACACAGGACATCATTTTCCATTATCTAGAATTTTTTTAAAAAACAAAAGAAAGAAAAAAAAAGGCTTATCTAGTTTATCTTGAGCAAAAAATATCCTCCTACAAAAAGTAATCTAAACCACAATTATAGCTGTTCATTACCAACTTTTTCTCAGTAAGTAACTTTGAGTGCCAAGTGACTGGAATGTCCTGCAATCAATGTTTCTTGTGTCTGGCGTCCAGCTATTTCCCAAGCCTTATCATGGAATGATATAAGGACTATTTTCCACAGTCACATACGAAGTGAACTTTGATGCACACCTACTCTAGGGTTGTCAATTATCTGACATGTTTGAAAATGCCGTCTCAAACTCAATTTTCTGTGTATATTCCTTTCTCTATGGAGCACGGAAACATATATGTTTTCTTTGTATATGTAGATCCTCATATATAATAATACATACATACATTTCTTTATGTATATGTTTGCACAAACACATACTCACATATATGAAATATCCATATGTACAAACACACCAACATGCACACACACTAACTGACTTACATGTGCAATTATAAATGTGTGACAATGTATATAAATTTATATAAAAACAAATAGCAAGTGAGAGAGAGTGAAAAAAAACACAAATGTTTCCTAAAGCTCACCATTTAGCATAATATACAAGGAAGCACTTTTATGATATCATATATAAAAAAGATAAAAAAAAAGAAAAAAATAGGAAGATGAGAAAAAAGTCCACACCTAACTGTACACCCTCAGAGTCATCCTTCAAAAATAACTCTTCACCCAAGACCCACACTTACAAACAGCCAGTTAACTCCCTCCTCACCATCATTGATCTAGCTTCTCGAGCTCCTCTGGCGTCTTGGCGAGCGAGTGCCGCGAGGACGTCTTGGATCGCCGTGGGAGGGTGTCAGAGTGGCATGAGGGGGGGTCTGAGTGGCAGGAGGGGGCGGTCTCTGTCTTGTGGGAGGGTGTGGAGGCCGAGTGCCGGGTCAATGTGTCGGAGTGGCGCGAGAGTGTGTCGGAGTAGCGTGAGATGGAGTCAGAGTTCCTGAGGGGCGTGCCGCTGGAGTGCCGCGAAGGGGTGTTTCTGGCATTCCGGTCCTCGATGTCATCGCTGTTATGATTCAGGGACATGTGGCTGCCCTTCTTCGGGGAGTGCTTGAAGCCGTTCTTCTTACACGTGTTGCTGTTGTTACTGGAAAGCGCATCCCCACTGAGGCTGTTTGAGCTCGTGCTGCTCTTGGGGATGTTATTGATGCTGGCTGTGTGCTTGGATGTGAGGCACTGCTTCTCCTGGTCATCCCCAATCATGTCCTCCATCTGCACCGACCCGCTGGGGTTGGCTGTGCGGTCTGGCATGTTGCTCCGTACAACCTTTCGGGAAGGGCCTGAGGGTAGAGGGGGGGGATCAAATAGGAATCAGTAAATAGGATCCACTTGCATTTGCTCTGAATAATCTGTTCTTTTCTCTTCCTGCATACAAGTAGTATGGACATAGTTGCACATAATACAAAGTGACCAACAGATGGGAAAATATTACATTAGACAAATTATATCTTATCTGACCAAATACCAAACATACACATTGAACCTTTCTTTTGGTCATGCAAAAATAAATAAGGACAAGAACTTTTAATGTCTGGAGCCTGCTAACTTACCAACAAAACTAAGAAGAACTGGCAGCAAGATGAGACCATGAAGTGCTCCAATAACCACCATTCCAAAATACATTCTGAAGTAAAAGACCTGAAAGGGGGAGGAGACACTGAATAAAAAATGGTTCTGATTAAGTGCCTGGTTCAAATACCAAGTATATGAAGTTACAGCCAAAATACTGATGAAAAATACTGTGTATAAGAATAACAATAACAACAATAATATTAACAATAACAATAAGAATGCTTTTGCTAATGCTTATGATAATGAAGGCAATAAAAACACTAATAATAATGAAAATTCTAGCAAATATCTGTAAATTCTCACATTAATAACACAAACTAAATTAATCTCTTTAGATTCCAACATTCTATAACTTCTCCATTTCTAAAATACAGTAGAAACAGAGCGAGACATACCTGGAAAATCTTTGAGTTGGCGAAAGCTAGGACCACAACACCCATATCGCTCAACGTGATTCCGGACAGCATGGAGGGCCCCATGCGCACCAGAGCGGCCTGGGCTCGCACAATTCTCGTGTCGGCCTCACTGACAGCAAAGGCACGTGTGGTGTGGGAGCAGAACTCGACGGAGATGCCAATGGCCACAATGAGGTTGACTAGCGAGATGGCATTTAGTGAGATGCCCCACATGTACATGAGTCCACCCATGTTGGTTAGGATGAGCACCACCATGACCATGATGATGAGGGAGGACGACACATCGAAGCCCATCATGAAGAGCGTGATGAAGAAAATGGCAATGACGGAGATGCCCAGCATGCGCACTGTGTCCTCCCAGATGGTGAGGTATTGTTCATAGAATACGTAGAAGACACTGTTGGGGGGTGGGAGAGGGGCACGAATGAGTGATTAGGGATGTGTCAGTCAGAAAATGTGTTTAGGCTAAAGTAATAATCATTCTACCATTGTTCAAAAGTATGGCTATGACAAAATTTTATATATTTGCTATGCATACGGTTAACAAAGAGAAATGAAAAAATAGAGTCCCATACTAACCTGTAGGGGAAAACTTCATATTTGGTCTCTCCGCTCGGCACCAAGACTCCGTCCTTCTCCACCAGGTTGAGTGTGCGAGTGATGTTGTCTGCGATGGCCCTGGCTGCCCGAAGAGCTTCATAGAAGTGCTGGCTTGTGCGCATGACAGTGTGGTAAGTCATGAAGACACTGGCTCCAGTGACTGGGTTGCCTGAGTCGTCGTAATTCACTTTGACACTCTGGGGAAAAGCAGACGATTAGACATTTGAGGATTATGGTAATACAAAGAAGAATGAAGTTCTGTTCAATTAAAGCAAGCCATCATAGACATAAAAGAGTTCCTAAAACATTATAGCAAAAGGGAATCCTAAAACAAACTAAATGTTCACAATCCAAGCTCACCTGGCCATAGGCTGCATGACCGGCCTTGGGGCAGTGGAGGTCGGGGTTGTCCTTCAAGAACATTGGAAGGTACTGTCCAAACATCTCCGGGTCAGGGCGGAAGGGGTTGTTGGGCATGGGGGTGATGGGGCACGTGTGGCAGTCCTTCCTGACACTGCGACGTCTCCTCAGGTAGGTTCGTGCTGCTGACGCCTTCCTCTCACTGGACGAAGTAGTTTCTAGGTTGTAGTCCGGCCAGCCATTGTCCAAGTGCCTCTCGCCTGTGGGAGCCTTGGTCACTGGGGCCGCCTTTAGCTCCTGGGGCTTGCGCTTGGGCTGCTTGTTGGTCTTGAGGCCGTCATAGTCGAAGTCTGGGTCACCGTATGTGTATGAATAGTCGTAGATGTCTTCCTCATACTTCTCCTCAGGCTTTGTGTTGGGCTCTTCCTCCTTTTTCTCCTCCTTCTTCTTAACCGGCTTGTCCCCACCAGAGTAGTAGTCAACATCCAAGTCTCCGTAATTGTAGTCATAGTTGGTGTCATCATTGTACACAACGTCAAAATCTGGCCCACCATAGTCTATGCTGGGCTTTTTAGTCACTGGCTCATCTTCACTTGAGGCGTTTTTGACTCCACCTCCACTGTCAATGCTATCAATAATGTCTGGTTTCTCAATGTAGTCTATGTCTTCTTCATAGATGTAGGAGTCATCCTCTGCCTCTCGTCTGCAGAAGGTGCCGTTGTCATAAAGCTGGCAGCAGTACTTCCCCTCGAGAGACCACTCAAAGTAGTCGTCAATCCAGGCGGAAGAGGGCACAGCTATGAAGGTTCTGCAAGATTATAATATTCCCATTATATTTTGAACTTATTATATGTGAAATTGTATAGCATTATATACATAACATAGAAGAAAACTTCCATTCCATAAAATCTAGAAATTCAGTAAAAGAAAGAGAAAATTAAAATAAAATCTAAAAATGGGGAAATAAAATTCAAATAACGAGAACAGACAACTCACCGATTTGGAATTTGTGAAGCTAATTTCAGCTGAATTAAGAGCGAGTCTTTATTACAACCCAGATGCGAACATATTTTATTCTGCATGTCATAATCACTGAAGTTGTACCCATGCTTTAGTACAAAATAGACTGGGGCTCCTACACAGCCATACTTCTCCAGGTACTGTGAACATACAAAAATTATATTACTTGATAAATACCTCCAAAAGAAAAGTCATATCAAATTCAGATATATTTACCTTTTTTTTCACAACATCACAGAAATACAACTAAAGAAAATGATATCACCTCACCTCGAAATACTTCAGAACATACGAATCGTCTGGCATAGACAGCTCTTCTTCCAATCCAATCTCTATGTGAGGAACCATGGCCACTGAGGAACACAGCCAAAACATGAACACCACAATCACCACCGCACGAACCCATGGCCGCATGAGGAAGGGTGCGTATGTTGTCTCGAAAACCTGGAATTAAATTTTTTTTTTGGTTTTCTTTTTTATGGTGAGTGAGGGTAGTATTGGCTAAGTATAGATATTCTGAAATATGGAAATACGAGAGAGAGAGAGAGAGAGAGAGAGAGAGAGAGAGAGAGAGAGAGAAAAAGAGACTAAACTATGAACCAGATTTTACAACTGACTGTAAAGAAAAAAAAAGAATGAAAGAAAAAAAATTATATTTATATAAAGTTAAAAAAGGGAGGGACAAAAATTCATACCTTGTGTAGAAATCTGGTGTCGGAATCCATTTCAACTTTGCTTCTTCTTATGCAGCAGCATACATCAAAACGATTATCCTGGAAACACGAAGAGAAGATTAATTGGCAAATGATTATGATACCAGGAAAGCATAGAAATGCATTTTTTTTTTTTTTTTTTACTTTACACCATCAATAAACCATCTGAAAGACGGATATTATAAGATTCATGAGATAGACAAATCAGGGAGAAAAGTTCAGTGGACGAGGCGAGGTCAAGACGTACCTCCTCCCGGGCGACATCCAGTGAGAAAAGAGCCACGAAGAGGGTCATCTGCAGCACGAAGTTGATCAGGAGGCTCATTCCTGCGTACATGGCAAACGCCTGGACAGCTGGCATATCGGAGAGAGCCCCTGCAAAGCAACATGGGAAATCGTTAGTCATATTCGCATTAGCGTTGGTGCCACGCCACAATACGGCAAAATAGCTGTGTAAAAACAGAAAGCAAAGTGGGGACAGGTGAGGCACGTTCTGTCTCTCATTACCTAAGAAGAAGCAGCAAGACTGGGAAATGGACGACAGGAGCATGGACGGACCAACAGAACCCACGGCACGGCCAATAAGCTGCGATCTGGTGTCCTCCTCAGTGCGGTCAAGGCTGGCATATGCCTCCACAAGGATGAAGATGTTGTCAACTCCTACAGCCAGCACTAGGAAGGGAATCACCTACAAGGGAAGAAGGAAGGGAAACCGTAAGAAATCTTTTCTTGATCAATACAATTCAAAAGCACATTTCATCATTAAACTGACATAGAGTATTGAAAGGAGGTCAACAAACATACCTCAATGATAAGCATAGTGCAAGGAACTCCAACGTATCCATAAAATCCAACTGCTGAGAATACTGAGACCAGGACAATCAGGACTCCTCCGAGACCCAAAGTTACTTTTGTTGAAATCTGTTCAGAAGTAAAATCCATTAATAAACCCAATCAGTCCTTGGATAAGTATAACAGATAAGATTGATAAAACAAAAGACATTGGGAAAATATAAACAACAGTTCATATATAGTGGTAACACCTGTGACCTCTCATCATAACGAGAGTAAAACCAGAAAAAACACAATTTAAGGCTTCTGCAGCATCCCTATTCACATACCAGGAGACGACTGCAGTGGTTGGTGTGTCCCAAAGCCAAAGCAATGTAAAGGAACATGATGATATACGAGATGATGACTGTTGGCAGGTCGGACTTGCTCATTCGGACCAACTCGTCCTCGATGGAACGCTCCGAACGGAAGGCGATGTCCATCATTGGGTGGGAGTAGTTGAGCATGAATTTATTAAACCTGTTGTTGGTGGAAAGCAGAAGTGAGTAAGTTTTAAAGCACTGGTTATCAAATGAGTAAAAAAAACACTTGAACTTTAACCCAAAGAGAACCAACTCAGATTAAAAGTATTTCTTCCAACTTATGATCATAATTCTATTTAGAAAGAATTAAGCTACTTACTTTGATCCACTCTTTGAACCACCCATCAACCAACTGATCAATCTAGCAACCAACCTACTAAACTACCCACCACTATATCAACCTACACCATAAATACAAAACCAAAATCCAGACGTACTCTTCCTCCCAAGCCAGGGCTGGTTTCAGCATGGACGTGTTGAAGAAGTTGTTGATGGGCAGGGTGATGACGAGCGTGTCTGCCAGCATGTAGTTGGGATTTTCTGAGAGCGTCTGGTTCTTGGCCAAGAAACCCCCGAGAGCCACGTGGGGCAGGACAGGACCTCCATAGGAACCCATGCAGTGTTCCTGGTAGGCATTTCTGTGGAGGCAAATTAAATTCAAAATGAAAATAATTATTACGGGCTCATTGTATATGGACATATACAAAGTAAGAAATAAATAGAAATAAACATTTGTTTTTTTGTATAAACACCCCCAAACAATGAGGGGATAGTAAACCAGACTTACCCTATACATGATTTTGCATGATGAATATCTGAAGAATTCAATACAGCCTCATCATTCTGCCAGAAATTCAATATCGACTGGATGTTGCAGTTGAGGTTGTCTGGGGCCATGGGCTTGTTGCAAATGTCATACAAGGTCACTATTTCCCCATCCACCTCGGCTTGCAGCTGCAATGAAAGGGGTTCATGTTAACAGAGGGCATTCAGTGCCACCATTCTTCACAAGAAATATTTACAGACAAGCTAAATTCCTAAATCTCAATGAAATTCTTTTTACGAAAAAGGAATAACACATACTTTTTCATAAACAAATAATAAGTGAGAAAGAAGAAGAAAAATAATCTTCTACCTTTCTTAAAGAGAAAACAAAAAAGCAGTTTAAAAAGGAAGAAACAATCTTACCTCGTTTGCAATATAGTTCTGAAGTAGCAACACCTCCTTCAAGAAACTCATGTTGTACACTGGGCCATAGGTCTCATTGTTTACCTCATACTGCAAGAAAATCATTTGAGGTCATTCATGGTCCTCTTTCCTAAAAATATTCATATATACAGCATATATATCTTCTTAATTATCACAAAAAAGGTCAAGGAGGAGGAGGAGGAGGAGGAGGAGGAGGAGGAGGAGGAGGAAGAGGAGGAAGTAGAAGAGGAGGAAGAGGAGGAAGTAGAAGAGGAGGATGAGGAAGAGAAGGAGGAGGATGAGGAAGAGAAGGAAAAGTAAATGGAGGAGGAAGAAAAGGAGGAGAGAATACATGTGCAGAATACATGCTGGACAAATTGTAAATAAAACAGTTTCATTTACAGGAAAGGAGATGAAGAAGATAAAGAAGAAGGCAAAGAAAATAAACAACTGCAAGCAAAGAAAGCCTCAGCAACTCACACTCTCAATCCCCACTGGACGGATGAAGATCTGGGCGGTGCGGTAGAAAGGCTCAAAATTCTCGTCGTAATAGTTCTTCTCGAGCCTGGACCGAGAGTTGGGGGATGCCCAGAGATCGACGGGGTCTGTGGTGATCTGCAGGAACAAGATTCCGACGCAGAGGGACGCAGCCACACACATGCCGATGCACATGACTTTGCACGGGTGGCCCGCACACACTGAAAGAAAGAGAGGAGCATGAAACGGTTATCTATCCTTCCCCTCCTTCCCCCCCCCTCCCCCCCAAAAAATTAAAATCCTTCTAAGTTATACAAATAAACATTAACCCAAAACTGACAGGCATGGCTTGTAAGTACATGCCATGCCCAATGAGTTTACTTTATTCATTATTTTTACACATAGATGGCTCCACAAGTACTAAGTCGCCAATGAGCCAATTATGAGTACTACTTATCTCACCTGTTTACCCTTTCCTTGATTTTTGAAAATATTTTATATTACCTTATATTGCTGTTAATAATGTCAATAACATTACAGTAATTATAATGTTTAAAATAAAAATAACATCCTTGCTATTGACAGCATTAGTAAAAAAAAAAGAAGAAAAAAAAAAAAAGGTTTTCCCACAAATTCAAGGAAAGGTGAAATCAGGTAAGGTCAAAAGGTCTACTAATTGACTCCTTTGTGGCTCAGCACTTACAGAGCCATCTATGTGAGGAAACACCTCACAAAAAATTCTAAAGTGAGCACAAGCATTTTCCCTGCGACACAGGGTCAACAAACAGCTCTTGCAACTTACACGTCCCCCACTTTGTGAAGAACTGATCGACGGCTGTCTGCGTCCAGTTTGTCAGCCGTTCAGAGAAGGAGAGCTCGTCGTGCATCACAACCTCTGGCATGTCTGCGGTTGGGCGTCCTGAAAGGCAAGAGGATTTCTTTGGTCTTATCTGGATATTCACAACTAGAAAATGAAGAGTACAATGAATACAAAAAGTTTAGACACATCAGTAGCAAAAAAAAAAAAAAAAAAAAAAAAAAAAAAAAGAAGAAGAAGAAGAAGAAGAAGAAGAAGAAGAAGAAGAAGAAGAAGAAGAAGAAGAAGAAGAAGAAGAAGAAGAAGAAGAAGAAGTAGTAGATTACTAAAATCGTCTGGCAAGAAAATTTTGATGGAACACAGTATGAAGAAATGTGTTATCTCTCTAATCAAATCAAAATTCTCCATCTTTTATTTTAAATATATCAAGCTCATAGATGAAAAATAACATTAGACCTAAGAGACAGAAAATAAAAGAGATCTTACCATGGAGAAGTGAATTCTCGTCTTCACCCGCAAACTGAGCCTGGGGATCTGACAAGTGGGCCAGACGGCGGCCGACTGCTGATCTGATCTCTTCAGGGTGACGCATACTGCGCTCCACCATCACCGCTACAAGAAAATTATTTCTATTAGTAACTCAACTAAGGGTTTTGTACTGACATAACAGTGGCCAGTCACTAGATATTTGCTAAAACTATACTAGATGATACTATCAAACATACCAATTACATTATACTACGACTAAGAAAACTGACCACCACTAATGCATATCAGCCATATACTTTCAGTATTCTGAATATGCAGCACACCCGTCATGCACTGGCAATGTGCTAGGGACTCAAGGTGCATGAAACATAACCATGCGTAAACAGTGAAAAACCCCTCTCTGGTTTCCCACTGCAGCCACACAGCATGTGATAAATGCACTGACTCCCTTGCATCATCCTCTGGGGAGCGGGGGCCTAATACCTGTGACTGGCTTCTTCTCCTCTCTATTTACCTGAATCAGCCATATAAACACCTTGACTCCCTCTGTAATTACCACAGCAAATCAGTTAAAAGCCACAGCCACCAAGAGTACAAGAAATGAGGCTTACTGCCTGCAGAAATGAAAGTGATTAAAAAAAAATAGTAAATAAATAAGAGCGTAACAAGAAAATGCACAGAGAAATAGCTGCTCCTTTTAAGCCATATTAAGATAGAAAAAAAGAGCAGAAAATATACAAGTACTTTATGAGGACATCTTCCAAGTACATTTCTACTTGGCTGCTAATTTACACATTGACAAACTGAAGTGCAGTGGAGAGAGTGAAGAGCAAAGCTAAAGCATTTGGACTTTACTGAATTCAAGACGCAAGAACAGAAACACAAAGAAGTCAGAGTGCAGAAAATAATAGTGAAAAAAGGGCATTCACGATAGAAGAGACAAATGGTGATGTTGAAACTATAACAATGGCAAGTGAAAGTGCACAGAACACATCAGAAAGAGAGAAAAAAAGAGGCATCACCAACAAACTCACATCTAAAAGACCCACAAACATGGATGAAGGACAGGGCAGACTGACAAAAACAGATAGCCAGGAACTAACACTGAGAGCTCCCACCCACTCACCTGTATATCTCTTATTGCGCTTGTGGCAGTAGGCAAAGACCACGAGGAACGAGACAGAGAAGAGCACCGCAGTGAGGGCCATGGCCACTGCAAGGCCATCATACCCAAACATGATCCATGGCTCTCCAGGGGCATCCCATGTGTCCGGGATGATAGGGCATGAGCTCTGGCAATCGGCACACGAGCACGCTAAGCTCCCCTGTGGTAAAATAAAGAGTAGGAAGGAATGTGAGTTAACCATACGGGGTATTTTCATTTACAGATACATTTTATTTTCTGATTATAATATATTTTTGTATGAAGTTTATCAATGGTATGATCAATCATATAATGAGGAAGTATTTAGCAACACAATGGCATGGGTACCAATATTTTGTTAGTCTAAACCAGCAAAATAATCACACATCTTAAATTCCAAATGCCCACAAATTAAAATCCTCACTTATACATCTAGCCAATGATTCTTTTCTCCTGAACACTGTATGACTGGTCTAAGGACCTAAACTATTTTCTTGATAGTTGATAGGGACAAATGTAGAAAAGGGTATGAATGAGAATGAATGACATCACAGTGCAAGAAATGCATGATTATTATAGTTAAAACTCAAGAAATGCATGATTATTATGGTTAAACTATTTTCTTTCATACATTTTTCCCCCCTACATAGAATTCTCTTCCAAGAACAGTAGCCTCACTCACCTCAAAATCTGTATTACATGGCTGAGCTGTTTCATTGAGAGGGATGATGTTCCCAGGCGCTTCCTCCGTGCTTTTGACATAGTGGTACTGGATGTTGATGGGAGTGTAAACATTTACCTCCTTGTCACCCAGGTAGTTGAAAAGCCTCTCTCCTGTACACCGCGGGGCTCCCCAGTCTCCACAAAACAGCCCTGTTGGGGGTAATTGAAGATGAGGCAAGTTGTCTTGTCTATTTCTGTATCTTTCAGACTTTCTGAATTCTTCAATATCTTTCTTCTTTCTTCTCTCTCCTTCTCTTTCTCTTTCTCTCTCTCATTTCTTTTACCATGAAAAGGGCTTACAAAACAGTTATTTCATGCAGGGGACTTACAGGAAAGTTATGTCTTGCTGTCTATTTTGTAGATTTCTACTTGAAAACTTATTTTTCTAGTTTCCTCCTTTTTTGCTAAAGCTAATGTGGCCTACTCAAGACAAGCTGAGTCTTTTCATAATTTTGTTTTACATTTCACTTGAAAATATTTTTTTTTATATTCTTTCTTTCTTCCCTATCCTTCTATTTCTTAAAGAACTTTTAAATAAAAATATGTAACTTATTTTCTACCTGAACTATGGACCAACATAGAACTAAGTCATCAATTATTGAACAAAACTGCCCCGATCACTCACCCATCACGCGGTCATTTGTGGACGGCGAAACAACATCACGGCATGATGAATACACTTTGTCCACAAAGTCCTTGGACATGTAGAACTTCATGTCTACCACCATGTGTTGTCCTGAAAATTGGGGGAATTACCATTTCAGTGCAATTCTGTAATGTATAATGTGCTATGCCTTTCACATATGCAACGTCAATTATGAAAAAATTCAAAGGAAAAGAGAAAGCCATGAATTTACTCACCTTTCTTGTCCCTGTGCGTCGCAGGCACGTATGACACAGGCTCGAGGAACTCCGACTGGTGTGGCGAGCAAGTCATGTAGCAGAAGGGGATGCGGATGTTCCTGATGCAAGCAGGACACCGCACCAGAAACATCTTCATCATCCCCAGGGACTGCGAAAGAGCTAGGGCTTGCCGGTCATTGCAACACGTGTCCAACTGCCCATCCTCGGTTACTGTTGCATAGGAGATACAAAATGTTAGTTTTTTGAGGTAAAGCTTTTGATGGTCTCAAAGTAGAGCAAAGTCTCTTGATCTTCTCTCTTCCATGTTATAAGGAATTACATCGGAAGTTTTGTCAAAAAGACAAGTTAATATATCAGAGATTCTAATAAATGATAAAATAAGAGCTGGATGTTCTCATGAATGATGACCAAATATATAATTTCAGAATCTGATATAAAGACAAACAACCAATGACAAACGCTTCAATCAGAAGTTTATATTCCTCCTTTCCACTCTGTACTTACTGTATTCTCTAACAAGTTCTGGACAAGTCTGGTTGAGCATCTTGATTCCTTCTGCTGAGAGGGATTTTGCCGTCCCGTTGTATGCACAGTTGAGGCTCCCTCTTTCGCTCATGCCACACTCGTCATACCAAATGCACTGGCCGCACTCTCCCTGGGGGTTAAGAAACAGGGTCAGGGCTGGAATTGGGTTACGCAGAAGGGCTGTTAAATGAAACAGCAGTTAAAGTGAATTGCTGTCTGAGCATAGCGGGTATCATTAATGCTACACCTTATTTGATTTTGTTTCTTTCTCTGTCTGTTTGTTACTCCTCGGATTGAATTCACTCCTTGCCTCTTTCACTGACAATCATATCTATCAGTTTATCTATCAATACCAACATCACAATTCATAACAGTAGTAATACCCAAAATACCCTAAACTAAAACTGACATTAAACAAAATGCATTAAAGGATTGCCAGGATACAGTGTTTTATTGTGAAAGAAAGACAGTGAGAAAGAAAGAAAGAAAAACACTAGCTTTTAAACACCCATAAAAAGAACAAAACTAAGAAGAAAGCTTTAATTTCCTGTAGCTTCTCACTCACTCACAATCAAATAACATTCCCAAGAAAACTCAGATAATACTTCAACATTACCTGAGAAATATGAAACAATTTGATCATACTCCCACAATAACAATAATAATAATCATAAAAAAAATAATAATAAAGTAATCATAATCAATCAAAGACCAGACTCAGGAAAATCCATCATACTAAAATTTAAAAAAGGATAAAATTATTTAATTCAAACGTAAAGAGAGACTGCATCAACCTTTCCCGAGTATCTCCTCGCACTCCCAGACAATTAAACAGCAGGTCCAAGCAAATCTCATGCTTGGCCTAGTTTGACCTCCTGTCTGGGATCCTGCCAGCTGAGAGCCGTTTGTTCCTGCCTTCCGCCTTCACTCACAAATGGGCCAAAGTCCTCGGGGCCTAATCTCTCGCCTCAGTTGGGATTAGTTGTGTTTGTCTGTCGCCGTTTGTGTTGTCTGTCTTTGTGTGAGTGTTTGGCGGAGCTAAATGGGGCGAGGTGTGTATGGGGGGGGGGGGTCTCCCTCAGTCTTTCTCTTCCTCTTTTTTACCCTCTCACTTCCTCTCCCTCATTCTCACCCTTCCTCTCCCTCATCCTTTTCCTCACCCTTCCTCTCCCTCTTCCTCACCCTCATCCATACTCTAACCTTCTCCCTCATTCTCACTCTCACCCTTCCTCTCCCTCAATCTTTTCCTCACCCTTCCTCTCCCTCATTTTCACCCTCTCCCTTCCTCTCCCTCATTTTCACCCTCTCCCTTCCTCTCCCTCTTCCTCACCCTCATCCGTACTCTAACCTTCTCCCTCATTCTCACCCTCTCCCCTCCTCACCCTCTCCCTTTCACTCAGCAAAACTGAACAATGGCATGATTACATAACACCAAAGTTATTTTTATTTATTCCCTTACACATCATACAGGTTAATATCAACAGCTGGACTTGGATAGAGTTAAAGCCAAAACAAGACTCTATGTAAACACAATCCTCTATCATTTTTAACACAAAAATAGTAAAACAAAAATAATTCAGCACTGTCAGGGCAGCTTCATACAGAGCTTAATACTAGAGCTTTTAATCATCAAATAGTATTTCCATTCTGTCAAAGCTTCTAAAAAGTAACTAACTCCTGCTTTGTAAATGTTTGAACCAAAACCTAACAAAATGCAGGTCACTCGGATATTACACATCATAAATCATACCGACATAATTCCGCACATAAATAAAACTAATACACCTTATGAAAGATTATGTCATAACTACACCATTGCCTGTTCCCTCTACCCCCACCTCCCCCACCACCCCCAAAAAATATAAAAATAAACAAATAAACAAATAAAATAAACATTAAAAAAAAAACCTCGGCTAATAAACCAATCTCTATAAACCAGTGACATAAAATGCGAGCCAATCCCTGCACCCACACAACGCCCTTCCGCCACCCGAACTTCCGAGGTCATACTAGGTCATCAGACAAGGTCGTATAAAGGGTGATATAAACTTAATCTGGGTCAAGTCATTTGCTGCTAAGACCTCACTTCCCCCTTTTCTTTTTTTTTCTTTTTCTTTTTTTTTTAGGAAGGTGAAGAAAAAGGAGTGGAACTGATTTTTATTTTAGAACGGAGGGGGAGGAGGAGGAAGGGATGTGTGCATATGTATATGTATGTGTGTATGTATGAGAAAGGGGGGGGGGGGTCAAGAAAGAAAGAAAGAGAGAGAGGAGAGGAGAGGGGAGAGGGGGAGGGAGGGAGGGAGAGAGGGAGGGGAGAGGGGAGAGGGGGAGGGAGGGAGGGAGGGAGGGAGGGAGGGAGGGAGGGAGGGAGGGAGGGAGGGAGGGAGGGAGAGAGGGGGAGAGGGAGAGGGAGAAAGGAGAGAGAGAGAGAGAGAGAGAGAGAGAGAGAGAGAGAGAGAGAGAGAGAGAGAGAGAGAGAGAGAGAGAGAGAGAGAGGGGGGGGGGGGGGGGGGGGGGGGATAAAAATCTCATCTGTCCCTTAACACATGGCAAATCCACACATTTCACAAGACCCAAAGAGAAAAGAGGAAGGCCATGAGGCATTTCACAATTCCAGAATCCTCCAACCCGGAAACACCTCCAAGACGTTTCAAATTCCTGGGAACAATTGACGTGGCTGCCTCACTCTTCATTTTAAAAAATATATATAAACTCTTAAACCTGGACAAGTTCGTCTAGAAGATCTGCATGACCGGGAGCAATAGGGGCTAATTTTCTGTCGTTATTACCTACATTTACATCGTTTACGTCGTTTTATGCAAATTAATTGGGCAAAAATGATACGTTATGGTGGCGAGAAAAAAATCAACCGCAAAAGTAACACATGGCAACCTCACTTCATGAAGCTATGACATCACTGTCTATAGTCAAACCATGACGTCATTCCTAGCGAGCAACCTTGGTACCACTGTGCAACTTTCTGATTCTTCCTTAAAAAAAAATCCTAAAGCTTCACGACATCAGCTCTATAAAAAAACTGTTACTTGATTTTTTAAAAGTGTTTTAAACGCATATTTCTTTTCAGATTACATATAACTCGCATATACTGTTAACGCGTTGTTAATCCTAAGGATGACATCACATGAATGTCGTCATAGTAGTGACGTCATCGCACACGCATGCTCCGTTTTCTGTGGCAATGACGTCACGAATTATGCAGGGCGCTTTCCCCGGAACATCAACGCGGGCGGCCATGTTGAACTGCCGCCGTCCGACCCGAGGAAAACAGTTAGCAGGTGATTCTCACGGATGAAAATAAAGCAACTCCCAGACTACTGACCTAAATACGCTGAAAGAAGAAAAAGGAGACGAAGAAGAAGGAAAAAAAGGCAGATTTCTCATGGGAGTGTGTAGAAAACCGCCAATGAGATGTATGTACATAATGCATACATACAGACAGACATAAATTAACATACATAAATAAATACATACATACATGCATACAGAGAAGAGAAGAGAAGAGAAGAGAAGAGAAGAGAGAGAGAGACCGAGAGACAGACAGAACGTTCTCTAAACATTCCCAGCAATAAAACGAAACGAAACGAAACTTAAAAGACCCCAAATGAACACATGTTGCATATCCCCCCCCCCCTTGAACAGATGCAGTGAGCATCAAGTCGGAACACGTGGCAGGTGACAGGTGGCTGGGAGGGGGAGGGGGGGGGGGGGAGGGGGAGGGGGGGGAGGGGGAGAGGGGGAGAGAAGGAGACGGGATGGTAGGG